AGAAAGAAAGAAAGTGAGAAAGAAAGAGAAAGTTAGAGAGAAAGACAGAAAGAAAACTTCCTAATTTCTCTTGTTTTTTTCCCATAGAAAGTAAGATTTAAATTCTCTCTTCCATTATCCAGGACTTTCTTCATTCATGCTATGTCACTTCCTAGGTGCTTTATTACAGATTATAGAATATTTGAAACATAATGCACATGCTCAGTATATCTCTTAAACATAGCATGTTAAAAGCTGTTTTAATTCTTAAACAAAGTTCAGTATAGGAACCTTAATTAAAACTTACTTTCCATTTATATTTTTATAATTTCCCTAGTTTTGTCAGAAAGTCAAACTTTTGTTGCATAAGTTTTTGGTAAGTTTTAAACAGAAAGTACCCCAGTGCACCTCCCCCCCCCCCCATGGTCAATAATTCTGTCCCCTCTCCAGAGAGTAGTGGAATTGATTGCGGGCTCGTCACTTTTGAAAGTCTGTTTTTTTTGTCAGACTGTTTGCATAGGTGAATTATTAGAATGTTTGCTTTGGTAGTGTTTAAAAACTCTTTATTGTTTTGCTAAATAGCACGTACTCACCAAGAGAAAAGGGAAACGTGGTTGTTTATTTAGAGACACGTCGCGATTGCCGGACGCCTTGTGCTGTCCAAGAGTCAAAATATTCAAATCACATCCTCGGAAAGAGAAAATTTTCCTAAGGATAAGGAAAGCTCGAATCATTGTTAATTGAAACTCGTTCTCGTCTAATTTCCGTTTTACAGTATCGAATCAAGGACGTATTTTAAAGACTTTTCAGGGTTAAAGATTCCAATAAACCACCAACGTCGAACCAAGGACATCAGAAAGTTAGAATACCCAATTTGAAGGTAAGTTTAATTATTGATATCATAGTATAGCAGCTATATATTTTTAAGGCTTAATGCCATGTTTTTACCTCTAAAATTTATAAATTCACTAGAATATTTCTAGTTCTAAATCATAAACTAAACCGAATATATATAACTTTATGTATTTAGTTAATTTTTATTAAATATTCCCATGAAATTATTATTCAAAAACAATTTTAACTTAGTTCATCCAGGGAGGTGGTTTATCCATGGTTTAGCGTACTTTTTTAAGAAGTTCTAGCCTTTTATGTTAATTTATTGTGCAAGGTAATTTTTCCGATCTACTTTTAATTTGGATTAGGTTTATATATTAATGTCGTTTGATTCAAAAGAAATGAATACTAGATATCATTAAATCGATATGGAATACACGAATCAATATCGTTAAAATATAAACATAAGGTTTGCATATAATATTAAGAATTGTTATTCATATTTATTATATTGACCATTCAATTTTTCTTTAAATTTAATGAAAACATTTCAATCCCCCTCTGGGTGAGGTATGGATATTTTCTGGGACTACACAATATGCCCTCCTCAGACCCTCCCCACCCCTTGGAAATTCCAATCCCCCTCCATGGGTGAGGTATGGATATTTTCTGGAACTACACAATATACCCTCCTCAGACCCTCCCCACCCCTTGGAAATTCCAATCCCCCTCCATGGGGGAGGTATTGATATTTTCTGGTACTACACAATATACCCTCCTCAGACCCTCCCCACCCCTTGGAAATTCAAATTCCCCTCCTTATGGGGGAGGTATGGATATTTTCTGCACTACACAATATGCCCTCCTCAGACCCTCCCTACCCCTTTGGAAATTCCAATCCCCCTTCATGGGTGAGGTATGGATATTTTCTGGTACTACACAATATACCCTCCTCACAGCCTCCCCACCCCTTGGAAATTCCAATCCCCCTCCATGGGTGAGGTATGGATATTTTCTGGTACTACACAATATGCCCTCCTCAGACTCTCCCCACAAGAAATTCCAATCCCCCTCCATGGGAGAGGTATAGATATATATTTTTCAAAATAAAAAATTGAAGAAATTAAAAAAAAAAATGTGCAGATTTTTATTCAGACAAAATAGTCTCCTTTATTTAATAAAGACTCACAATAATTCTTTGTTCATCCAAATGTTAATTAAGTAACAAAAACCATCTTTTGTAAAATTAAATTGCCAACCAATTCCATTTTTGGCTATTCCATAAAATGCTACTCCATAAAATGCTACAAAAATAGATCATTTTCCAACAGCTGTTCACACATCGTGTTTTTTAAAAGCTTAGCAACAGTAAATTATATTTTTTCATGCTAAATGACTTCCTAAATTATACAAAAGGTGTAGCATTGAAAGTGAAGACCTTTATATACAAAAAAATTGGTCTAGGGGAAATAAAGTTGTTAAAAACAATACAGGCACTGTGAAATAACAGCACAGGAGAACAATATTATTTTACTGTAAGTATAACTACAGAATTGCCCAAAAAAAATTTTGACGAACGATTTTTATTTTTGAGAGAATATATTTGGAGGATATGTAGATGGTAATTTTTATTAGAAAAGTAAAAAATATATAAATAAAGTTCAATGGCAAAGAAAGTAATATGGGAAAGGGATAATAATATTGATTTTGGAAGTTTATTTCAGAAGATGGATTTAAGTATTTCTTCAACTCCATTTATCTTTTTATCAGTTTTTTTACCTTTTTCGTTCCTTTTTGAATGCATTATTTTTGATACCAATAAATTAATATGTAGAATTTATAAAGGATATTTTACAGATTCATGATTGGTAAGTTAAGCAGGAAAATCATTGATCTTGATGGAAAAGGTTTTTGTGAGTTCTGGATCTTTATTTCAATAAAAAAAATAAAAACCATAAGAAGTGTTTATGGGAAACTGTTGATGGCAACCAACATTTTTGACAATGAAAGATAACTTTAACGAAAAATAATATTGCACAAACACAAAAATAATTTTTAAGAATTTTAAATTCATGAGATAAACTAAATGTTGAATTTTATATTTTATTTTTTGAAGCAAAAAAAAAAAGGTTTGTATGACAAGTTAAAAAATTTTTTTTCCCAAAAAAAATTTAACTTATATAATATATGTGTGGATTGATAATATAACTTCATCTAATCAGATAAATAATGCAAAAAATATACTAAAACATGGTAGTGTTTTTGCTAAAAATATTGAACTTGCATGAATTTATGAACCAATGAAATTTAGATGGCTACTTAATCTTAAAAATGCCCACTCAGAAAATTAATCCAAAAAATGTAAAGAATCCCTACTAACTTTATTTCAAAAACCTTTGAAGGATGTTCAAATATATCTTCCAAAAATGAAATAATATTTCAGATCTTCTTTTGAAGCAGACATCGTTTATTTATGACAAAATTTGAATATTCAAATTAAAGGACGGCTATACACATTTCTATTCGTATCCATTAATACTTTTTAAAAAAAAAAAAACAATCTCAAGTAAATCATTTAAAAATTTCTCATATTTTTTAACTTTTTCAATTCTGCTTTAAATAATGAAATGCAATTTTGTTTTAGATTATATTGCCGATTCTTCTATTCACTTCATTCATTTTTTTTCATTTTTTCAGATTTCTCATATTTTTTCTTTTTCAATTCTGCTTTAAATGATGAAATGCAATTTTGCTTTAGATATACATTGCCGATGCTTCTATTCACTTCATTCATTTTTTTTCATTTTTTTTCATTTCTCATATTTTTTTCACTTTTTCAATTCTGCTTTAAATAATTGAATGCAATTTTGTTTTAGATATACATTGCTGATGTTTCTATTCGCTTCATTCATTCTTTTAATTCAAGTTCAAATAGAGCAACATTTCTCTTAAGTGTCAAAATTTATGATGTTAGAATAAATTATTATACTACTGTATGAGTCTTCAAAAATAATTGGTAGAGCCTCCAAAGGCCCAATGAAAACCAAGCAACCTCTGTGGCCTTTGGCAATCTCGGTTGCCTTCAAGTAAATTGGGAAATCTTTGAAGATGTTTAAGTTTCAAGCAGAGACACCTTAATGTGTTTTTAGACAATAAAGTAAATTTGCCTGCAGATGAAATAATGAAATATCCATATGTCACCCATGGGGGCCGGGGGGAGGGTTTGGGATTTCCAAGGGGTGGGGAAGGTTTGAGTAGGTTATATTTATTTATTGATGTGTAGTACCAAAAAACATCCATACCGCTCCCATGGAGGGGGATTTGGAATTTTCGAAAAAGTGGGTATGGTCTGAAGAAGGTATACTCATTGTGTAGTTCCTGTGGAGAGGAATTGTAATTTCCAAGAGATGGGAAGAGCCCGAGGGGAGAATACTGTATCTACATATCTTTTATCTAATTTGGAGGGGGGGGGGGGGG